GCACTGAGTGATAATAATGGTTGCATGAAATATGAGTAGGAGAGGAAACTATATTTTCATCATATGCCTCTGTTCAGACGATGAAAAGACTGAAAATAAGGCCAGTTGTATTTTGAGGTAGAAGGTAGAGGACTTTTGCCTTACATTTTTGCTCCTACTTATGTATGTAACCACGAAGACCTGCTTTTTGAAAGGGCATCCTTGCTGAAGTCGGGCGACATCGACCATGGTGATAAATAAGATTTAAAGGACTCTTGTATGACGGTGTCTCCACTTAATTGGCCTTCTTCACCTTATCGTCACCAACCATTATCTAATTACATTATATCCATGTTGCTTTGCATGGTGATAGTGTAGCGGTGTCTGATTGTAATCTCAGACCTCGATTCTTGTGGGTTGAGTTGCTATATACTCGATACTTGATCACATGTGTGCATATACTGTGGTTTGATATTGGATCTAAATTCTACCTATTTTGAGATTTGCTTTTCTAATTACTTCCAGGAATTTAATCTGGAAACATCAGTCTACTGGAGGGCTTGAAAAAAATTACTGTTAAGATCAGAATGATGGAGTTATGAGACCATAAAGATGTCTGCCGATTTGATATTTCTTGGATTTTTCTTTGTTCTGATGCAACAAACTTTGAAGCCATTTCAGAACTGTGTCTATGGATGGATTTACATGCACATATAATACTTTTGATGTTGGAGCTGTTTTTGTTCATGTTGTCTGATCTTTTTTCTCCATTATTCATGTAATTGGTCTGAAATCGATTGATGAGCTATTTCTTCAGTGGAGGTTTCTCCTTTTGTATTAAGGAACGACACACGTACTAATTTGTATTCCCCCTGTTTTTTCTTAATTTTTTTTAGGGAGATGATGCTACTAAATAAGTGTTCATAGGTCGAGGTTGAACTTGCACAGATTTTATGATGTTATTAAAGGAATGTAAATAAACTCTGATAAACAATCATTCTTGTATTGCTTTACTGAGAGCCAAAGGGACATTAACTCTATATTATATAAATGCTATGAACTTAGTGCCCTCCTGGCTCTCAGTAGATAAGAACTTTTATTGAATGTTTGAATGTAATATGATGATCTGGACAAAGCAATAAATGTATGGTTGCACATAAAGGTGCATTTTAACACTTTACACTTCAATGTGAAGGAGTGCATACATACATGTTGAAGTCTTGTACACTGTACATCCTATAAATGCTAGAAGTTGTGCCTTTGAGATTGTACTTGATGGCTGTGATACATACACTTACTCTACTTCTCTGTAAAGCTGACTTGATTATGCTGATTTAACAGTGCATAAGTGATACCGGTATGTGATTGTGACTTGAATAGTTTGTCTCTTCTGTGATATTGTGTGACTAAACTCATGAAAATATGGATTTAAATACTTTATCTTGTATCAAAACAATATACTTAATTAATTTTCCGTTTTTATGTAGTGAACACAATATTGAAACACATCTCAAAAACGTGAAATAGGCTGCCCCCTGCCGGCCAAAACAATACAGTGAAAGTGCAACTCTCGCTTCTGACGTCACAACTCAAGCCCGATTATCAAAAGGCTATTCCTGTATTCTACAAACCTCATAGCAGGAGTATCCACATGTAGATTTCTAAATGATTGTGTTGCCCGTGGCAGATAGAGATCATCAACTTTTCAATGATCATAAATCGTTTTTGTTCAGAGGTGAAAGTTAGATTGGTCATGTGTGCGACTACGACAAGAAGGGGTCTTGGTTATTTTCAAACCCTATTTTCTACTTATTTTCCAATAACTCTTTTCTTCAACAACGTTATAACATTTTCTTCAGAGGTTGTTGGGTCGGTCCTGTGTATGCATTTACAGAAAGGTCTTATACATGTACATGTTTCTTATGGGAAACTTTCAAATGAGATGACAATGTTTAGAAGAAAGAAAAAACCCTGATACATGTTATCTCAAGGTTTTTTGAATGACGGTATGACAAACAATATTGAGAGGTTATATCCAACTGAAATGCAATTTGATTTAACTTTGGAGGGAAAATAGTCACAGTATTTGATACCATCCGTTACTTCATTTCTTTTGTGTGTGATACACCTGGGCCCGTATTCAATTCAATACTTAAGTACAAAATTGAAGCTTTTTACTTAGTATTTGGCTTACATAAAATACTTAGCCAATTTTGGTATTCAATTCACACTTTTGTGTAAGTATTTTTACTTTCAATCTAAGCCAACTGCATACCAGACTTAAGCCAATTATTTGGTGGCCTTGATTGGCAGGCATATGGTTTTCTTGCGCAGTATTATATCCCGCGCACAATTATATCAGCGCGCATTTATTGCAATGCATCAATATTGCGCATTACTTTTGATTGACCGTGTGACGTCACAATGCTTATCAGTAAGTATTTTACTTAAATTTTGACTTACGTAAGTATAAGTCTATAATGAGATTTGAATACGAGATAAGTTAATTACTTAACTTAGCCATTTACTTAGTAAATTTCTTACTTATGCTAAGTATTGAATTGAATACCGGCCTAGATGTAGAGAGAGTTTTTCAGTGACTCTCAGCTCAGCTGAAACCCATGGTCTAGTGAAGCCAAATCAGCCATCCATGGTTAATATGAGAAAGGAAAAATAAGTGAAAAACCTTTCAATATATTATAGAGATAAGAAACATGATCATGATCTATCTCAACCCGTATAGGTTCATCCTAATTTGCAATGACATACATGTAGAAAGTCTCCTGCATGTACAGTGTGTGTTTCATATTATGTAGGAAAGGGCAAATTTGACTTCATTTTGTCAATATGAATTTTCTTTTCAACTGTCTTACAGCTTCTGTGTTAATTGTTCAAAAAAGATGATGATAATGTAGCTACATGTGCACATATAGCTTTGATAACGTTGATATGGATGTGATGATGTGATTAGTGCTACAGAACATAGAGAGCTTTTTATGGCCCAATTCTGCTACTTTTTTGGTACATTATATGACTGCTAGTGAACAGTTATTTTTCCAAAATTCTAATTGCAACTAGGAAGATTCTTCACAAGGAAATGCATGGAGAATACTTTTAAAACAGGTCGCCTTAATAGAGGGGTTGTCTTCACCTATCTTTCCTGGATCAGAAATAGCAGGCTATCTGGCCAACTCGGGACGATGATGAGAGGCCTTACATGTATGAGCTCTATGATGATTTAGGTTGGGATCATTAAAAAAGCAATTATCATTACAAAATTCAATCTTGTACATGTACCAGCAACTTTCCATTGCTCATCGAACAAGGGGAAATTCTACATGAAGGCCATTAAGTGGATAAATGCAATCTGCAAAAAGCTAGTAATGCACTATAAACTCATATAATATACAGGTATACATGTACATGAGGAATCACTGCTCTTCTGGCTCATCGCAGTTGATACATAAATTGATTTGAGCATGTATTTTGTAAAACTGCCTACAATTTAGAAAAGACACCTTTTTTGTGTGGGAGAAGCCTCCTCTGCGATCGGAAGCCGATCATCAGTAGATGGGAACGTAGTGTTTGTGAAGGATATGTCTCAGCTGAACGTAGCTTCTTGACAAGTTATCAGAGTTTCTAGTCGGCTTTTTAAAAGGAAAGGATGATCTGTATTCATTATTCAGTGCCATTGTCATCCAACATGCATTTCCATTGGATTTAATCCCAAGATATGTGAGACTTTGTCACAAGTTGAAAGGAAGATTGTTTTATTTATCGTTGACTGAGAGATACCAAAAGAACGCCTTTGAGAGAGCTTTGAGTAGAAAGGCCTTGTCCTGAACATAGTAGAATGGATCATCTCTCCCAGGTTTCCATAGCAACTTCATGTCATTTTAAATCGTTGTCTTTGATCAGGAGGAAAGGACATTTCGAAGGAGCTTTGTGCAAAATGCTCTTTCTCTCAGGTTTCTATGACAACACAACAGTCTTTTTTTCTCGTATGGATCATGCACATACCTGGGAAAATGAAATGATCATTATTTGACATACTATACTCTTCATGAGAAACCTTCAGGACAATGTAGTCTACACTCCTGGAAGTCATTCCACTGATACATGTGAACAGAACACAGACAAGACACATGTACATGTGTGTACATTTACCATGGCCTTGGAATATTCAACAGACTGTGTTGTCCTTGGAGTAATATGCTCCAAACCAAACTGCAAGAGACTAGACAGACTGAGTCTCAAGCGTAGGAGGCTGCTAGCGTTTTCAAGAAAGCGTCACCAGTCAAAATGCGTGCATTGCTCAACGACGAGATGCACGCTTGTTTTTGTCATTGAGCGGTGTTCATGGAAGAGCTTAAGACCCCCATGGCGAGCAGGTAGAGATTCGATGTCCATGTCTTAAAATGTGATTCAAATTTTAATATCCATTTTTGAGTGGGTAGAGATGAAGACGAAATAGAGATGCTGATTTTTTGCTTTACTGTACCTAGTCTTGTCATATTCGTTTTACAATGAAGTTTTTTAAAATTTCATTTTGAAATTCATATATTGTTGCTAAAAATATTAAAATCTATGTTTTTATGAGAATTATCGAGTTATAAGCCTTGAGGAAATACTGTTTTTTATTTTTATTATTAAACGCAATTTAGGAAGACTACCAACACAATTTGGCAATGATACTGTAAACTCAAAAACATTCATGTGCATGAAATGTTTGTGAGTGATCCAGCTTCATGGAGATTTCATGCTGTAAATGAAATTAATCACAAATAACGTAAACACATTTTTGCAATTCATGTTTTTTTGCCATGAAAGTGGCCGTCCTTAACAATTCATGAAAGTTTAAAATGTGATTTTGCCAATGTCCTAAATATGACACTGTGCAGGGGAAGTCTTGAATGTTACACTGAAAAAATTAATCAATTTGACTTTTCTACTGATGTGATATCTAGTATTTCATTCACCGGTTGTAATTATTGTTTTATTTATTTTTGTCCTTCATGCAGGTCCGGCCAAGGAGCAAGCCTTTCCTGGATCCTCGCTCAAATCACCGTCTCAATGGACGAGGAGCTCAACAACAGAGGGCTCTGCTCCTACACATGAAACACTTCCAACTCCAAACAAGTAAGACAGTCTGAACCTTTCAATAAAACAATCATCAGTTGAGATGAAGTCATCAAAATGGATAGAAACAACATTGAAAACAGAATATATGCCTGGTCAGGACAAGACAAGAATTCCAATTCCATATGAATAAGATTTAACTAGTGAGAAATTGAATCATTTAAAATTGAAAAAGATGATTTCCCAATTTAAATGCAAATTATAGATGATCCAGTGATATTCCATCAGTTATAAGTAAGAGCCTTATTAAAAAAGCAAAACACATCATCCTCAACAGGATTTTGAGTGGGAAGATGTAACAAGTATCATCAGCCTAAACTCTCTTTCTTGTTATTGTGTTGCATTCATCTAAATGTGTCTTGACTAATACTTAAGCTTCAAGCAGGGGACTTAGCTTGATCAAAGGAATTATGTTTTGATTCAAGGATATTATGAGAGATTGATGTTGCTTTCCTGATTGCATTAGCCAGTAATAACATACGGGGTAATGGATAGAGATAAAAAAAATATAATGTTGTATTTTTAAAAATGAAGGTTGGATATATATGTACATGTAGCTGCCAGGCATTAATTATCTTTTTTTTTTCTGTGACAAATATAAGTATATATTTCCAAAACACTTTCTCCCAGAAGATTTTTTGTCTACATTTAATTGATAGCTGTAGGTGTTAAATCCATCGAAGGACTCAGTATGATGCAAACATCTTGGTGGATTGGTCAGCATCATGTTCACCTACATGTATAAAGTAGAGAGGTGCTGGTATGTTCCCCAGGGAGTGGAGAATGTGCATATATTGTGTGAGGGAAAGCCTTTGTCAAGTGACCATAATAATTAATATGAATGCCATACAAATCATTTGATTATTTTGAATGCAGGTGCATTTTTAACAAATTTCACTTTGATAGCCCTCAATTTATTCTTCTATTATGCATGCTGTTCTGTTCAAACAGATAATTGATGCAGTTTACGCTTATATACCCCTTTTATCCTGGAAGTTTTCTATGAATCAAGTGTTGTCGTTACCACTGCTATTTATTCCCAATGCTCCTTGTTTCTCCTTATGAATATTCATGTCGATCTTCAGAGATAAGCCTCTTCATCGGCGTATGACTAACAGTGATCTGATTGCGCTAGCTACCCAGCATCGTCAGCAGCACACCACCCATCGGCGGCGCCAGAACCTTCTCCAGATGGGGACGAGCAACGTTTCGGACTCTTCTGATACAGACACAAGCGGACAGTCCTACTCAAGGTTTGTATTTATCCCTTGTACTTTATATTTCTTTCCCTCGGGTGATTTTTTTTTCTTCTCTTTTTACCCTTCTTAAGTTGTATTCTTTTTTTATCCTTATGTGTTTCTCCTATTTAATTTTTAAAGCTCATTTACCGTACCTACTGTCCTTTTTCTCCTTTACTCCTTTTTTTTCTTCTTCAATTTGTTAAGAATATCATTGTTCCAGCATTTCTTCCAATCTCTCTCTCTCTCTCTCTCTCTCTCATTCTAATATTGACCTCTTTTCACTGAATTATTTTGTTTGAATCAGCTTTTAGAGATCCTTTGAATGATCCTTTAAAGGATGAATGATAAATTAGAGTAAATCATGAAGTTAGTTGAGGAAGAATGTTAAAGGTCTGATTGATTAATGGAGGAACAGATGAAATGATTGGATGAGTAGATGGATGGATGGATTAGGAAATGAATTCTTAATGGTATCTTAATGATGCTATTTAAAGATAAAATTCCAGTTGAAATATTCTTACATATGTTGTTGTTATGTTGTGAAGTATGAGCAAGATATAATGAATGTGTATATAAGCAAGTTTATGTGTGTATATATATATATATATATATATATATATATATATATATATATATATATATATATATATATATATATATATATATTTATTGGGGGGGGGAGGGGGGAGGGGGGGGGGGTAGTTTAGTGCAATATTCTGTTCATACCCAGATATGGTTGTTCACTTGAAACTTGTAATAATAACCAGGAATTTAGGATGAAAAAAACCCATAACATTCTTTGAAAATTTCACTTCTGCTTTGTATGACTCTCTAATATGGAAGCGCAGTTAGTAATTGGGCATTTGATGATTTTACTGAATGCTGGAATTTCTTTACTTAATGCTGTATATTCATTCTCTTTTAGAAATACACGCTTCATATGATTAATGTATATGATTACTGTGGGTGATTTCATTAGAATCATGAGTACCGGTAAACTTTATGTTAATGGTGGGTGTAACCAATGAGTAATAGATTGAAGCACTCCTTGGTGTAACATTTCACTTATTTCACAGATTCTGTTGTCATTGAAATTTACTTTCTGTATCATTTGATAGTACACTTCCACAGTACATTGTATGATAGCAATCATTGTAGTGATAGATTAAAGTTCAAGGTAGAAATCTAGGTTAGGTTTTGATCCAGGAAGTGCGATCCATTGACCAGGATAATGATTTGATATCGCTTTTCTCTAGTTCCCATTATGAAAACATGACTAATAATTCCCTTCGCCCAGTTACCCTAACAATACGTTGTGAAGTCTCCTGTTTCATAGCAGTGTATCAAAAAGAGTTTGGCTAAATATTTATATAATATTGTATGGCTTTTGAGTGTGGTACAAGAATATATTGCTCGAGCTATGACGATATTGGACGAGTCATAGACTAGTGTAGTATTATCTTAGCGAGAGCAATATATTCTTGTATCATACGAAAACAAAGCCATACAATATTATTATTATCTAAATTAGTCTGACTAGCGAAATAACAAAATTTGACTTACCTCAGTAAATATGGCTTTTTTTCGTGTGATATTGATATGATATCAATATCGATAGTTAAAGTTCCGAATCAGGTTAATTGTCATATCTCCTTCAGACATACAATCTTCCTCTTCAGCCTTCTCACTGTATACCTTCTAAAAGGCTACCATCCTTTTTTTCATATCACCCTTGACCTTGGTCCAACTCTGTGCCAAGGACTATACATATAGCTTTAATATTCATGCCAACTTATTTATGAATAGGCTTGACAAGGATAATTGCCTATCCTGTTTCTCTATTGTATTCTTCCAAACACACCTACAGTGTACTGCTCTACTTGTGTCTTTGTGTGTAGTTTGGCAAAGTTACCAATTGTTTGAATCTCTTTCAAAAAACCCTCAATCTTTGACTCATTTTTAGAGGGGTTCTATAGGGAAATATTTGGGCTTTTTTATGCCTCCGCCACCGAAGGTGGTGCCGGAGGCATCATGTTTTCGGGTTGTCCGTCCGTACGTCCGTACGTCCGTCCCGTTTGACCGTTATCACAATATCTCAAGAACCATTTAAGATTTAAACTTAAGACTCGGGAATAGTATTTATCACCATAGGAAGACGATCTGATTAGATTTTGGAGTACGTAGGTCAAAGGTCACAGGTCACAGAGGTCAACTTATGAAATTCCTTGTATTGAGTTTGTTAGCGCGATATCTCAAGAACCATTTGAGATTTAAACTTCAAACTTAAGGATAGTATGTATCACCATAGGAAGACGATCTGATTAGATTTTGGAGCACGTATGTCAAAGGTCAAGGGTCACAGAGGTCAACTTATGAAATTCCATACATTGAGATTGTTATCATGATATCTCAAGAACCACTGGAGATTTAAACTTCAAACTTAGTGATAGTGTGTATCACTATAGGAAAACAATCTGATTACATTTTGGAGCACGTAGGTCAAAGGTCAAGGGTCATAGAGGTCAACTTATGAAATTCCATACATTGAGATTGTTATCATGATATCTCAAGAACCACTGGAGATTTAAACTTCAAACTTAATGATAGTGTGTATCACCATAGGAAGACAATCTGATTAGATCTTGGAGCACGTAGGTCAAAGGTCAAGGGTCACAGAGGTCAACTTATGAAATTCCATACATTGAGATCGTTATCGTGATATCTCAAGAACCACTGGAGAATTTTTACTTCAAACTTAATGATAGTATGTATCCCTATATCATAATATCTCAAGAACCACTGGAGATTTAAACTTCAAACTTAATGATAGTGTGTATCACCATAGGAAGACAATCTGATTAGATTTTGGAGCACGTAGGTCAAAGGTCAAGGGTCACAGAGGTCAACTTATGAAATTCCATACATTGAGATTGTTATCATGATATCTTAAGAACCACTGGAGATTTAAACTCCAAACTTGTTTAAATTGCTCTATGGCGGAGGCATCATTTTCGACTGCGCGCAGTCAAAATTCCATCTAGTTTTGTGTTGTGCTGGAAGCTAACAAAAGTATTATAACAAAGACCACGTACAATCAAGTTTCATGAAGTATTCTGACTTTCATGTACATCCTGGTTACAAACTACAGAAGAGATTATGATTTGAATGTGAAGAGCCAAATGGGATGCCCAAAATTTTTCCTGACATTTTAACGAAATGTGACTGTATTTCCCATAATCTCAATTAACTTGTAGCCAAAAATACACTTTGCATTAAGATGTTTTGTTAATAATGATAAGGTTAATCTACATCTGCAAATGTCAACTTTAGCTTATGCAATTAAAAGGATTTGAGAATCCCATTTAGCTCTTCATATTCAAGTCATTCGTAACTTTACGCACAGCTTTATGAAACACCCCTCTGGTTACAAACTGCAGAAGAGATTATGAATAGGAAGTCGTGCATTGGATACACATTTTAAGGTTTCAGGGGAACTTCTGTTTGCTTCATGCATGTGTGTTTAGAGGATTCATGTACTGATGTTTGCATTTGGAGATAGGAAGTTTACAAAGTGAATATTGCTTCTTGTAGAGCCACTATACATGTACATGTACAGTTACAAACTCAATTTTCATTCCCCCTCATCAATTTGATGTTATTTTGTGTTGTTCTTAACTCAACCATGAAAGGTAGACTAGTTAAATCATGGTCTTTGTTTAGTACTTTAAGTTGTAATCTTTAATTTGTCACATTCTCAAAAAACTTATTGGTACAAAATTACAAGTCCTATTCTCACATAAAAAAATCCCTGTCTGGGTTGGCTTTTTTGGCAGAAAAGTAATGATTTTACTAATCCATTTTCCTTATAAATAGGATTTTAAGTATACTTTTTTTATCTATGCTGTGCCACTTATTAGGTAAACAAGCATCCAAAATCTGTACCGTATTTGCCGCAATGAGTTCACTTGAATAAAAGCATACAATTCCATCATTTTCTATATAAAGATTTTTGAATATTTCACCATTTTATCCCATTGTACCACTGAAAGACCAGGAAGTGAGTTCTATATAGGTTACATGAAATTTGTGCCTGATGCTATTATTTCACTGAATTTCGCATTAAGAATGTAGATCGTATGCTATTGTATTTACCCAGTACTTGGAAACAGTATTAACCTTTTGATTAAAGAGATATAGCTGTGTGGATTTGCTTGAGTATGAAGGCTTCATTTCATATTCAAAACTTGAGATATGACGCATAGATCTTGCGGCTTAACATCAACCCCTGGAAAAATGAACAGATGTGAGATTACAAACACTCCTCTTCCCACTGCTCGTACAAGTAATACAACACACAGTGTACTGCTGTACACCATGGTGTACAACCCCTTTTTGCACTTACATGTAATACTTACATGTATGACACATAATCGCAAGCAAAGGGGAGGTGTAGAGGTATCATTTTGTATGACGGTGCAGTGGGAACAGAACTGTCATGAAGTGTGATGGTTTAGCAGCTCGTGTCAGACCACAGATCTGTTTCTGTTTGGCAAAGTGATCAGAATTAGCAGGTGACGTACCTGTCCCGACTTGCCCTACCTATCGCTCTGTTTTGTAGGAAATGATTGGCAGGAGTATCAAGCAGACAAGGCTATGTGATAGGACACAGGAAGAACTCATGCATTGTGTTATCTCACATGTGATAGCTTCATTAACGTGAAATAACCCGCAAATTAGCCAGTGAGCCGTATCCTTGTTTGGATTGATGGACCAGAAGAAGAGAAAGTTGATCTAACCTTTACCACGATCTTATCTGCTACACCTTCTGTCATTGTCAGATAGTGCTTTATACAATCATTCATGTTTTATGACTTCTTAACTAGTTGATTGTATCACTTGCATTGTTGACTCCATTCGTACCTCTTCTCACTTGGATTATGCTGGCATCAAGTGCTGGCACTCGTTTCTCCCTTTCTTTTATATTGACAAAGAAAGCTGCAGCGTTCTGATTG